GATTTTCTCCGTCAGCAACAGCTGCTAGACTGGCGTTTCAAATTATATTCTAACTGTCTAGGAATGTGCCATTCAGTGATGGGAGAGGGGAGACCGGAGTGCCCCCTTTTTTTTCCTTACAAAACATGTCAGAACATTTGAACAGCTGTGAGATATTCTATATAAAGGGGAAGAGAAATATTTTGTCTGTCGTCTACATCTAGCTTCGTCTAGAGAAAGAAATAAACAAACTGAGCCGACAGGACAGAAGATGGTTACTGATTTTTAGAAAATGAAGGACTCATCTTGGGGTTTCTTTCTGCAGTTTTAAAAGCCCAAAGTATGAAATACTGACTCAAATGTGTTAATGTGAAGCAGTATGTGTCAATATCACAAAGATTGCCTTATGCAGAAATATGCCAGTTTTGCTGCCCTGAAATCGCACTGGAAGCCTTTAAGGCAAGGAAAGGAGAGTTGTATTTCATCAGTTGAGATTTCTGATAAGCAAATAAACAAACCCAGCCTAGAACAGACCGGCCCCTTCACATCGCATTTACGCCTGGTTTACTTCTTCCCGCCTGGGCGGTTTTAAACCTTCTTAAGTATTCAGGTCCAGCCCTACAGGTGAGTCCAGGTAATCTCACCTGTTTACCTGGCGGTTACCTGTGGGTTTACCTGTGTTAGTTTGTGCTTATAAACCTGCATTTCCCCTCTGGTCTCCCAGTCAATGACGAAAGGTAGTGGATACTAGCTGAAATGTCTGACCGTTTCCAAAATCACATCCAGTTGCTTGAGTAAATGCTTTTTGGTGTATCGTATTACCTGGATGTCTAACCTTCATCGACGTATCTCACCTGTTTACCTGGTGGTTACCTGTGTGTTTACCTGTCCGTGGGTTTACCTGTGAGTTTACCTGTAAGCTTACCTGTGGGCTTACCAGAGCGTAAAGGATGAACCAAAATCCTTCCACCGCACGAATTCGAACCTTATACGTAGCTTGTACTTACTGTACAAAATCTGGTATGTCTTCTATAGTACAAAAAAAAAACGGACGGGCATACGCAGACCTAAGACGCTGCCGTAGCTTTTTGGGAATGTCTTAGAAGGCCTTCTTTCTTTATGTTCTTTCTTAAAGAGGACGAATGTTGGCATTTCAATGCACCTGTTTCAATAGAGGTTCACCATTGACGCATGGGAGTTTCATTGCCTGCAGTTGGAGTCCAGATCGCCAGGTGCCACTCGTGAATGGTTTATTGTACGGTCTGTCTTCACTCTCAGAATCTCATCCAGCGTTTTAAGTATCAGCGTTTGTCGTTCCAAAAACGTTACGATTTTCCCATTATTTTCACCAGTATTCCCTCTAGTCAGAAGATCACTAATGCTTTTGGGGAACATTATTTTAAAATAGCCTCTACCAGGCTTCGGGAGGCGGTCTGGTGCGGCAAATTGTACTCTCTATCCGACCAACTACTCTCTATTCGACCGATTTCTAATCTTTCCAGCCGCCTCCCGAAGCCTGCTAGAGGCTACGGCAAAACGTACTCTCTAGCGGACCAACTCCCCCGACATGTTTATCTCTATATTTGGCCGATTTCTACTCTTTCCAACCGCTTCCCAAAGCCTGAAGGTGAAGGATAATTTTAAAAAGCTTTTAACACAATCGTACTTAAGGTTTTACCATTAAAATGGCAGCACTTGTTCTAACGAAGGCCCTTAAGAGGTCTCAATGTTAAAATCACCGGGCACGTTTTTTGAAAAGGTTCAACTACGACAAGGATTTTACAAGAACAATTCGTTACAAGAGGTTTTGGTACGAGAGTACTAGAGACTTTTACCACCAGCCAATGAGTGCTTGAACTTGTAAATTACGTTCTGAAGTGATGCTCTTGTGTCTTAGTTAATGGTGGATACTGAGAGGTTTCAGGGTGAAGTGCACTAGACAGCGCTTTTACACTTTATGGGCAATTTGGTGGGAATTTCACTGTTAAAGTTATACATGATAAAAAGTTTTACGTGATACAAATGTATAAAGTTATACATAATATAAAGTTATACATGGTATAGGGTTGTGTATATGGCTTTGGAATAAGTTGTGATTTCGTAAGGAAGAAGTCATTCAGTGCAACAGCTGTTTCTGTTGGTATAGTAGTAGTAGTAGTAGTAGTAGTAATAGTAGTAGTAGTAGTAGTAGTAGTAGTAGTGGTAGTAGTAGTAGCAGTAGTATAATAGTAGTGGTAGTAGTAGTAGTAGTAGTAGTAGTAGTAGTAGTGGTAGTAGTAGTAGTGGTAGTAGTAGTAGTGGTAGTAGTAGTAGTGGTAGTAGTAGTAGTAAGTAGCTAGTTGTAGTAATAGAGTCATCGGTATATAGCCAAATGGGGGCATACGTCACATCCCAAATTAGCCGTTACACTCACTTGGGTTTGTTATAAAGTCAAATTAATATCTAAACCACAACCGCGGGTCCAGCGTGTTTTATAAACAATCGGCTTAGTGATGACAGCTTGTGGCTGGTAGTCTGGGGAATGGAAACAAATTATCCTGTGTTGAAAACACGGGGGGGGGGGCATTTGTCAACATTACGGCGTATTGTATCCAGAACCGAATTTTTTCAAGATCACAAACCGTTGTCACGTGCATTCGCGTATGTACGTTTGCGTATGAACTGCTTTTATTCATGAGGACACGTTGTCTTCTCTTTTCCTTAATTGGATATCCTTAGAAACCACATACGTACGTGAAATCTTCCGTGCGTACGTAACGTCCTTATGTACACGTGTCAGCACCATGTGCACTCGGAGTGCTTAGCTATTTCTGGGTCCGTAATTAGCCATATAATGACATATTGCCTGCGGTGCAATGATGGTGCTTTCCAGTCCTCCTGCCCTTATTTGCGTTGTTGGTTCATGTAACCCGTTTTTAGGCAGGATAAGCGCGTATTTAACATCGGTGTTCTTTATAGCTATTGTAGACGTCAAAACCATCAGCTTATATAAGAGATATTGTATTGTTTCGTCAATAAAAAAACAACATCAGATACACATAGTAGCAAATACGCCCCCCCCCCATAAAACTGTTACTGAAGCAACTGGATATGATTTTGGAAACGGTCAGACGTTTCAGCTAGCATCCACTGCCTTTCATCAGAGTCAGTTTTTTGGCGTATCTTATTACCTGGATGTCTAACCTTAACCGATATAGTAGCATAAACTTTGTAGTTTATCTGTGTTAAACCTTTTAGTCATAGACCCCAAAAAGCTATTTTGTTTTCGCCGAGTCAGACATACGGAGATTATGCATTTGTTGTTCTGTCGAAACCTTAGAAGTTGCATAATGCTTTTTCTGTATTTCTGTGGTGGGCTTATTGACTATCTACTGATCGATTAATCGATAACCTTTTATCTAAATCTGATCGATATTATCGATCTTAAGTACAAGGACGAACAAGACTAAGAATAGACCACACAAGGAGTAGTTTTTTCCATCATTTGTTTGTAGATCTGTCAGCGTATCTGTTATTCTTGATATGAACATCTTCAATGCTACTATTTTTCTTGAACTGAGGGTTAGCAACGCAGTATGGGTAAGGGGGTGAAGTCTGCCATCTCTGATTGCCTAGCTTACTAAAACGTATCCTTGTTAATCGTAACTGATTTTTTTCATTGACTCTTCGTTAGAACAGAAATTGCGTAAAAGAAGAGAATCTTTAACTAATGAAACGATCCCCTTATAAACAAAACATGAGAGTTTTCCAAACTAATATCGTTAGCAACACACAATAACGTATGTGACGATCCCTGTGTAATTAGTAACTAGCCGCTTCTCTTAAAATTAAGGGTCTTTTTGTGACGAGATTATCATAATTAGACGCCACAGTAATTAGTGATTAGAACGTTAAGACAAAAGTCTATCCAGAACTTATCATTAGTGAGTTCGACAACAAAAATGCTAAAGATTTTACCACAGATCTTACCCAAAAAATCGTTACTACAGCGTGACGAAATATTTACTTTTTGGGTTGTTGATGGTTTTTGTACTTTGCCCCACTCGGCTGCTGGTGTATATATACTTCACGCTGATTGGTCGCCATGAGAACGGTCCTTCACGCTGATTGGTCGTCAGGAGCAGCGCAGCTATGCGCAAACAAGCCGCAACATGTGGCGTGACGTCATCAGCCACTTGTTTGCTTGAGTGACACGAGAATTGGACGACTTTTTTTCTGTGAGAGGCGCCTTCCGCCCGGATACGAGCGCTGACGGGCCAAATTCGGGGCATTTTCGCGCGGATTTTCTCAATTTCTGTCACAAAAAGACGTGACAGGAAACTGACCCATCCCTGGGAGTGATTGACAGCTCCGTTGGACGATAATTTTGGGGGCAAAGAGTCGACCATCGGACGACCCGGACTCTACAACAGGTGCCAGCGACCCAAATAATAGGGAGAGGAACACGTAGGATTTTTCTTGGATAATCTCAATTTCTGTCATAGAAAGACGTGACAGAAAAGCGCGGGAAATGTTGAGTGATTGACAGCTCTGTTGGACGATAATACGGGTGGCAAAACCTCAACCCTCGGACGACCCGGAATCACTCTTAACAGGTGCCAGCGACCCAAATAATAGCAAGGTGGAGGACGTCGTTTGGACTTTCCAAGGAATCGCCGCGGTCTTCGGCGAAGGAAATCTTAAAAGACCTTCAAAGGAAGCTTCCAAGACACGGTGACCTTTTTGCCCTTTGAGGATTGACCTGTCTGATTCTTCAAACGACCGGCCAAGATTTGATTCCTGGAATTTCATTGAGGGAGACTTCAAAACATGAGTATCACACGTTCTCGTTATCACTAATATCAGTACGTGAAGTAGCTGAACTATAATTAGGATTCCTGCCACAACAACAAATATTACGGTTCGTAGACTGGAACTCGTTGCCACCAAGCACAGTTGGGGCATCCTCACTAGAAAGCTTTAAACAACTCCTGCAATCAAATGTGCAAAGATTAAGTGTAACAAGTCGTTCGGTGTATAGTTAGCTGCCGCCGCGCCGCGTGCCTGCGAAGCTGGTGTGTTACGCCGAAGGGCGGTTATACCGGCTATACTGATACAGATCGGATTATATTATTGTCATAGCACGTATACAAGACGTTTTTCTGAGACATGGATCTTGAAGACAACAGCTTCTTAAACCCCCGAAACAGTTTCAACTCGGAAGCTAGTGGAGACTTGGAGGAAATCTTCACCAACCTTGACCGGTCAGGGAGCGGGTTCCTCGAAAAATCCGACTTCGAGAATCTGTGTCAGAATCTAGAACTCGACGGGGAAGAAGTGGAGGCAGTTTTTAGAGAACTGGACAAAGATGGCGACAGGAGGATCAGTTTGCATGAGTTTACGGACGGACTGAAGCATGTGGAAGTGTTTATCAGACAGAGAGCGGTTTCGTCGCCTGCTGTCACGGGTAGAACTTCGAGCCCAGTGACTAGGGAAGCTTGGGGCCTGTTCAGCCACAGATCCGGAAGAGACCTCTTCTTACTGCCAAGGTAAACACTCTCGGGTTTTTCCCAATTCTCAGCTGGCAATGTTCTAGGTTTAAACAAACGTTTTTGCAGCGAAAATAAGCTTCACTTTACTCAGAACTAGCGGTAGATATATCTAACTTTTGAATCCTCAACTTACAAAATTCTAGGCTTAAACACGGTTTCCTTCGGCTTTGATAATGATTTATGCTCAACTGATAAATTATAATAAATTCTAGTTTTGTAGAGAAAACACGATCCTTCAACCAGAACTAAGTAAGAGTAAACATAATCTACTTTTGACTGCTCATCGATTCACAATACTCTAGGTGAGAACACCATGGCCAGTTTTGTGAAAACACTTAAATTAACACGGAGCTAGGGGTTAACACACCCAACTTTTTATGGGGAAGGTTTTCAGTGTGAAAGCAGAAGAAAGATCACGATAGTTTCGGCACAATCTGCTGACATATTCCGGTTAAAACAACAGTTACACAGAAAATGCACTCAGTGCTGTTGACACAGAAACACGTGTAAACACCATCAGCCCTTAGTGCAAACCTAGAGGAGGTTTTCAGTCAAAAAGTGGAACAACAACTCGACTGTGTCCACTACTCCAAAACCTGATGACTTATTACCTTCGCAAAGAAGGTTATGTTTTCCGTAGCGTTTGTGTGTGTGTGGTGTGTGTGTGTGAAATAGCACAATAACTCCAGAAGCTTTTGGTGGATTGTCAGGAAAGTTAGTAGGTGGGTAGGTCTTTATGAAACCTAGAAATGATTACATTTTGGGCCTCCTAGCGGCTTGTTCCGATTATTTTATTATTTATTTATTCTTCACTCGGCCACGGAACCACATATCGCCACTTTAGCGCTTTTCAATGGGCCGTGAGGCTGCAAGTAATTCAAATAAAAACATAACAATCGGCATTTGAAACAGAATTAACACAGGGATAAAGAAAAGGCACTGTTACCCAGATCTAAACTTGGGTTGTTTTAGCATCCCAGAGAAAGGCCTTTGGTCTTTAAGACCAGAACAAGGTGTGAAATAGAGATTATGTTTACCCGTGTCAGCGTATTCTACTTAAAATCTAGAAGGTCAGCTTTTAGGTCAACAGATTCAGCACTAAAGACCACGTCTTCCCGGTAGTTACTCCGTCACGCCCAGAGCAGATGAACGGTCAGACGCCAAAACCTGTACTAACCTGTGTAAACTCTTCAGTCACGGTTGGTTTTGATCAGATTCAGACTTACCTGGGCGTAACGCAGGACTTGCGTAATTATTATTACACACAAGCACATCAATAATATAAGCCTCTTTGCCTGATTCTGATAATAGTTTATTGCAAATTCGTGTGGGCTAATTACACGTCAGTGCATTTACCCGTGAGAGAACTACTAGTAATCAGGATTACACAATGTTGCTGCTCTAGAGTAAGGTTCCATATCTACGTTACTTATATATATGGTTTTATTTCTTCTTTGGAAGCAGTGGAGAATGCTAATTCGTTCCAAATTCTTAATGATAGATGCCTTGGGTAAATGTTTAATGTTGTAAGTCATACCTCAATGCAGTCGTATTATGGTTGCTACTGTATTGATTGTGATTTTATTAACGACAAACAAACCAGTAATGCAAGTTCAAATTTACCTGGTAACGTCCAGGTTTAACCTCCAACATGGCGGCCAGTAGTGACGTCAGAGTCACGTGAGTGTCACGCCTTGAACTTTAGGGTCAAGGATGAACTCTTGACAAGAGGCTATTTTTGGGTTGTTTGGTTTGTTTTATTGTGTAAATATTGCACAGGTGCTTCGATGGGTTCAACAGTCAGATTATTTAGTATGAGATCTAAGCCGGATTCACAGAAAAAATACGTCAACATTAATTATGACTAAGAGTCTCTGAAAAGTCATGCTTTGTGTTTAGGTTTAAAGTTTAAAATCTTTTGTTTGCACCTTTAAAGTACAGGGTGATGCAAACAACATTACTCATTGCCCCCCCCCCCACTAGTGTAGGGTTGCCCCAAATTGCTGCAGGGGTGCTTATTTAGCGTGGGTAATTACGGTAATTAACTCTTCCACCCCCTCCGGGCAGTAGGACAGTCCAAAACACGCTACCTCGTCTCACATTACTTGGAAGCTTCCATTTTACAGCAGGTGGGAAAAATGTTACTTTTGAATCGTGGCTAAGTCCAGAGACTTCAATCGTGGTGTGATAAAACCAAACACAAAGGAAAGTTTTTTAAAGAAATTCTATAAAACTCCCCTTTTGAATTGGAATGTCCCAAATATCACTCTCCTGCAGCTAATTATAACCTCACCTTGGACCATTCCAATCTAATACAGGTGTGATCTTAAAAGATATGTTTATAACTTAATTTTGTATAATAAAAACACATGAAATGCCTCATATATATTTTAGCATACTGAATAAATACAAAATGTAAGAACATTCAGCCAAATCCCAGCGGAATTTAAGAATAATCTTTAAAACGTCAGCGAAGTGTGAAAAGGTGAGTTGTCTGTTCCTACTCTCCAAGCAGAGGTTTGGGGTTATTTTTGGCGTGTTTTTAGACTTTTTTATCGGGGTTTATTTTGCACTGGAATTTTTCTTTCACCCAACCCAAGGTGCAAGAAAGAAACCCCGATATAAAGTATAAAAACACGTGAAAATTAACCCCAAACCTCTGCTTGTAGAGTTGTCTGTTCCGAGTCAGTAGTCTTGAGAACATGTTTGGCGGGTCCCAGCTGTTGTTTTGTCATGACGTCATTATCAGACGACACTTTGGTGGCTCCGCTCAGAACGCCGAAAATGTCGTCTGAAACCGACTGCCTTTGCTACTCTGAGGAAGATTTAGACCTTTTGCCGATCGCGAGGTAAGCTTAAGGCGTCACTAGACCAGAGTGACTGGTCGAAAGCTCTAGGTGAGAGAACCTTTTGTGCTGGATCTAAAGTTTTAACTCTAAACATGCAATTACCATCACCGATAACTTTCATGAATGTACCGTCATGCTTGGGTTGGCAAAAGGACATGTTCACATGCAAGGTGTGTAGCTCGGGGTCTAGTTTAGACATGTTAATACGATAGTTTTAATACCTGAATTATAGTATTTTCAACAGTATGTCTAATGGCAGCTCTCGATGTTGCATACACAATTTTAAAATGTACAGAAAAAGTCAATGGAACTTAATTCAACAAATTCTGGTCTTAGATTCTCTGTAAATAATATAGTTGAACCTTATTGACTCAACAAAAGTACAGTGACTTTCGTATGGTCTTCAACTACATTAGATTTTATGTATTTCGCCCACGCGCGTTATACGGGATACAGCGGTTAGTGGGTGGCGTGCTCTTTCCTCTTTTTCAGGAATAAATGAATGAAACTCGGGCTATTCCAAGCAGAGGTTGTGGGGGAATGATCTTTAGCTTTTTTTTATATGGCCCGTTTTCTTTTTTTTTTTTGTCGCTACCCCCACCTTGGGTCGCGCATGGACACTCTCTGGCCAATTGGATACTGCCTGGCCAATTTGATAATCTATTTTTGAGACCCTAGGATCTGCTTGGAGATTAACTCGGGCCCTTATTCAGTGCGTTTTCGCTCTTACAAGCTTAAAGTACACGTCATGGTAAAAGCAGTCTTAGGTACAATTACAGTGGTATGTGAGGAGAGTCTGGTATCTTTCCACATCTACTAATTATATATATGGCAGGTATAGCCCGAAGCTTCTCGCTTTTACTCATGACGGGTCTTAAACTCCCACCTCTGGTTTCTTGCTACATCTATCACCATCATCATCTACATCTATAAACTATCATAATGACTGATTTATGTACATTCTAGTGTACCAAGTCATGGCAAGGTACCAGTACTACTAGTACAAATGTAGTTGTGTAATACCTGCCCAGGTAGCAGGTCGGGTTGACACGAATCTTATCGCTTCTTGTCTGCTTCTCCGGAACGGAACCTACGTACTCCGGATGTCAACACGGCTCAAGAACGCTGTAAAAAGCTATAATGGGGGTTATTGTATGCAAGACGTTTATTGTGCGTTCATAAATAATGTAATTCAAAGTGCGGTGGCAGTGATGTAGCTAATTGGAGTTGGGAGTGGGTTCTTATGTGGGAGGGGGGTCTTATGTTGGTAGGGGGTTCTTTTAATAGATGTTAATAGGTGTTTTAACTATTAGCTGAGTATTATATATTAAGAGGGAATTTTGGAATGTGGGGGGCCCTTAATTAAGTTTGTTATATGATGGGATTTGAAGATGTGGGTGATGAGAAGGGGGGGGGGTCTTGATGATCTTGGTTGCAGTTTTCTGCTGAGGATCTAGTTTCTGTAGGGAATGGAGTTTATTAGATAAGACGTTGTAAGTTTCCACCCTACTGTCGGCCTTGGCAGTGTTAAGCGGCGATGACGTCTGTTTGTACTTATTAACTATCCCCTTAGCAAATTTGCCTGCTCCTGGGTCATGGTGCTTCGGCACGGAGTGGGGGAACAGATATTCAGATAAAGAAATTCAAACATTGCCCACGCCAAAAAAAATGATAATTTAGGACTAGGACATTGCTACATGCCGATATTGCGATAGTATACCCAAGGAGGTTATATATGGTTGACAACATACTTGGAATGACACGAACAGTGATTGCCACATTTCTAATAGTGTAGCTGTCAAATGTAGCAAAAGTGGGTAAAATCCTTCAAACCGGTCTATTCTGGTCCGCGCTTGTTGACATTCCAGCGTTACTATAGAAACGCCACGTAACGCCCGTCTGTTTGGCCCAAAGTTCTACGTAACCATGGCGACCATATCACGTACCGGACTAAATTGGCGAAGGCTACAAAAGAGTCGTTACAAAACAAACATTACTGTTGATACGGCCACATTCTAACGACTTTTACGTACGTGTAGAAATTGCTACATTGTAACGGCTGTGTGAACGGCTACATTGTAGCAACGTCGCCGCGACATGGGCATGTTGCAAATTGGAACTCTTGCATCATACCTACAATGTACATGCAATAAATAACACAATCTAGACATTGGAATTTAAGCCCAAATCTTTTAATCAAAGTTCTCCATTCCACGGTTTGGGAAAGACAAACAGTGGCGACTTTAAGAAAATTTGTTACATGCCAAATGTGGCAGTTCTATTATATCGAGCATTTTTCTAGATGTTGGAAATGTTAACTTTGCTACAGCTCATGTTTCCTGAAGTGTAGCATATTTCTTGCTGTTTGCCACATGTAGCGAATATTTGTTATACGTATGGTGATATACATGTGTGGCCGTGCGATTTCGTGATCATCATTGCTGAGACATGTTGGATACTTGCTACAGTCCAGTGAAGTGTAACATATTTGTTGCTGTTTGCCACATTAAGAGGGTTTTTGTTACATGCTGAAGTGTGGCAGTTTTTTGTTGCCGACTGTTGCATGACGGGTGGAGTGGCCTTCAGACCCGGATGTTTGGTGGAACGTTTGGATTTTTCCTACCTACGACCTTTGACCTTCTGGTGGCGTGAGGAGGGTGTTTAATCTTTAACTTAATCCGATGTTGACAGTTTTGACAGGATTTGACAGTTTGTAAAGTCGTTCCATTCTAAACTCTAAGTTACTATAGAGCTGCAATGTCGAGTCCTTTGTTGTTGTTATTAAATTACCCAGTCACACACGTTGCCTTACTGCCTACGTGACTAAAATGCTTACGCCTAGTAAATGTTAGATATAACGATAGTATACATTCCTCCCAACCTGTTCTTGTTTACAAATGCAACTGTCCGGTTCTTGTATATATATAACATTGATTTAAAGCTTCTTCTCTGTGAGTTTCGGGACTTAATAAATGTTACAGCTAATGATGCTATACATTCACTCTAATTATCCAGATCGATGAAGGCGACAGTGGTCGTTGAAAAATTGATCTCTGTGTAAGCCTTGTGTTGAAATCTACTATGATTAATTCCAACACAGGTGAACTTTCCTGATAAATTGAGACTTGCTTGTTTGTAACCTTCCATCGGTGTGTGTTTGAAACCCAACCCACGCGCCCGAGCATGTGAGTGTTGACAGACGGGAACGCCCTTACACGGTGCCAGCTCTCCGGTCGTGCTTTTCAACAATCCACCTCAAACGGGCAGACACAATAAGCTGAGCTCTCAGCCGGGGTCAGAAGTTTTGTTAATGATCCCTGAATATCCCGGGCTTTGAACATGTAAGGCGTTAAAATTGTACCGTCTTTTTACACCTCGGGCGTTTTTTCTTGTTTCTTGAGCCTTTTTTTCAACCCGACTCTGTCAGAATAATCTCTGTTTTGACAAGTTTCTGAACATGTTATTTTATTTATTTTTCATGTAATTTTGTATACTGATCCTAGCTTTTCGAACTGTAAGGCGTAAATTGTACCGTCTTTTTACACAGTATGCGTTTCTTCTAGTTTCATGAGCCTTTTTTCTCAATTCGGCTCTGTGAAAAAGACGAAATTATGGCGTTTGAAGCTGTTTTTTTTTAATTTTACACTGTGGGCGTTTTTATTTTTGTATCGTGAGCCCTTTTTTCAATCCGGATTTGTCAGACTAATCTCTGTTTTGACAATTTTCTGAACATGTGATTTTAACCGTGTGCGATGAGAGAGATTTTAGTTGCAAAAGTTTTGTGCTTTTTTGTCTGTACAGTGTCAACTTCTCACTGCCAAGGCCTTCTATTACAAACACCGACGAGTCTTTTCCTGTTTTAGTCTTAATGTTGTCCTATTTTGTCTTACTGATGTCGTGTTTTTGTCTCAGTTCTGTTCTGTTTAAACGCCGAAAAGGTCAACCCGTCACGGCTGTGCTCGTGGTTTAACACAGGAGCTCGGGCATGACGTGTACGACAGTCAGGTTATTCAGCCCCCCAACTGGGGAGTTCCTTGAGTTCGTGTTTTTCTAGCCTTGTAGCCTTGTTTATTTTGCCCAACCATGACTGTATTTTCATCCAATATTTCCTCCTCGTTCATTTATAATCTTATTTTGGTTGACAAAACCAATTGATCAACATTTTTCTAGTTCTATGTACGTAGAGCACATGTTGTGTACGGTTATTGTTGAGAGCAAATTCAAGCACAAGGCTGAAGCAGTAACGCCAGAAGAGGGATTCTTGAATCTTTGTTCTGATTTTTGGTACGTGGTTCGTTGTTTTCCGCAACAAAGACATGTTGTGATTTGTGAAGTTTCCAGTTACCAGAACTACGTGCAGCAGGTGGCATCAGAACTCGTTATCCAAACTCTTTGTTCACGCACAAAAATATATTCTGTACAAGGAGAGTCTTTGCGACAGTGAAGTAGCCAGTTCCTTCTCTTCGTAGGCCTTCGTACTGTTGCAACCACAGCTCGGATGCTGTCCTGATGCCCTTCCAACTGATTATTAGTCTTCACCAGACTAACTACGTTGGTTGAAAAGTAAAGTAAAAAGATGTAGCCAAATAGAGAATATGATTTACCAAGGGGAGTTTAGCTTTCTATAGGATTCAATTTGCCAGGCTCTTTTGGGCCACTATTAAATTAAGGACACAATTGTATGTACCCGAATTGTACCTTACTTATCAACATGGACTTGTGTGGACATGAATTTTGTCCTACTTGCTTTGAGCCCTCCTCTTGGTGCTGTATCAAGAGATGAAGGTCTGACCCAGGCTTTCCCCATATATATATATATTTCATCTTGTATATATCTTGTAATAAAGATGGTTTGAAAAACTATAGGCACCCCTCGAGCCTTAAAGCCCTTTCATATTGCGGATTTCCACAGTGTGCACGCGATAAGGCACTAACAGCTTGCACCACAGCTAAGGTATTAAAGTCTCTAAGTTAGAATCCCTCATGTCCGGTGTTCCGTATGACCTGGCTTCACCACTCTGTTTATTTACAAACCGCCAGCTGCCCCCCTCCCCACGACATGCTCGCGGGGTTATCCCAACAAAATCAGCAAAACAACCTGGAAAGCGTTAAAACAAACACAGAAGTGTTGAAAAACAAACATATACGCTTACAAGGAGGTTATTGAACTGATCTGTAACATGCAAAAACATCTAAACATGTTTATGAACCTCTTTGCCCATTTTCCGTCAATGTTAACGTTAGGAATAATTATCAGTACTAATTAGTAATAATTGAACTCGCGTATAGTAAATGAACAAATGAGCTATCCGTGGTCGTTTCTAGATCTATGATGTCGCAATATCTCCATGGCGCTGTAGCGGACGCCCTGTGGTGTTGGATTACATTATGTAGCAAGTGGCAGAGCTGGAGGGGCTGGTCAGCAACTAATGTATTTGTTTATTGTTTATTTATTGTTATTTATTGTTGTTTATGCAGCCACAGGACAATGTTTGCGAACTCTACCAGCAGCTGCGGCAGTGATGCATTGTTTGTTTTTTATTCCAACATATAATCACCAGACGTGTGGACGGCACACTCAAGTTTTATCAACTTATATTAATGCCGCCACCAACACAGGGGACAAATACAGGACAAGACAATACTCATTCTCACCTGAGTTAAATGAGGAAAGTCGTGTAAAGTGCCTTTCCCAAGGGCACAAGATCGGTGGCATGTCAGGACTCAAACCCGGGTCTCTTAGTTCCGAGTCGCGCACTCTGCCGCTACGCCACACGACCCCACCTGTTTGTTTATTTGTGTTTATTGTTTATTTATTGTTGTTTATTGTTGTTTCTGCAGCCAGGACAATGTTTGCGAGTTGTACCAGCAGCTTCACGGCTCGGCCACGCACCTCCTGCCTCAGTTCGAAACCGTCGTGCTGTCCATCATCAAGGACTACAGAAGCCACCAGACAGAGATAGACAGACTAGAGAAGTCACTAAAGAGGTAATAATTCCTCCTATCCTTTACTCACTCACTCACACACTCACTCACTCACTCACTCACTCACTCACTCCCATCAAAGACTACAGAAGCCACCAAACGGAGATAGACAGACTAGAGAAGTCACTGAAAAGGTAACCATCTATTTCTCATTCTCTCTCTCACTCTCACTCACTCATTCCTGTCCATCATCAAAGACTACAGAAGCCACCAGACAGAGATAGACAGACTAGAGAAGTCACTAAAGAGGTAATCATCTGTTTCTTCTTCTCCCTCTCATTCTCTCACTCACTCACTCACTCACTCACTCACTCCCATCAAAGACTACAGAAACCACCAGAGATAGACAGACTAGAGAAGTCACTAAAGAGGTAACATCTTTCTATTTCTATTTCTCATTGTCTTTCCCTTTCTCTTATTCCTTCTGTTTAGCATCAAGGACCAAGGAAATAACAAGAGATGGAAGGATTAGAAAAGTCACTAAAACCTCCATCTTTCTCCTCACGTTCACTCATTCAATATATCTCTCTCTTGTCTCTCTCCGTCCTTCTTTCCTTCAGTTTCTCTCATGACCATTATGAAAGTGGTAATGGCACCTGATTTTGATGGGTAGATTGTAGCTTTGTGTTGGATTCTGTGACGTATGTAACCCATGACGTCATTGTTCTCAGAGCCAATGAGACGCACGAGCAGCACCTACGTCAGATGGAGGAGGAGATGGACCAGCAGATCAGCAGAGCGGAGGAGAAGTGTAGACAGCAGGTGAGACAATGTAGCAATGTAGCAAACTGTCTGTAGCAAACAGTCTGTAGCAAACCTGTCTGTAGTATACCGTCTGTAGCAAACCTGCTTGTAGCAAAGATACATGGTCCAGCAGGGAAGGGGAGAAATGTAGACAACAGGTGAGACAAGTGTGACAATCATGGAGCAGTGTAACAAACCGTTTGTAGCAAACCGTCTGTAACAAACCATCTGTAGCAAACATAGATGGACCACCAGGACGTAGGTGTCTCAATAATGCAACAATGCAGGAATGAAACAATGTAGCAAAACGTCTGTAGCAAACATATACGGACCAATCTTGAGAGTTTAGCAGGGCGGGAAAGAAATGTAACCAGGAGGTTGTTTTTGTTACAATATAGCAAATATAGCAAATGAGAAGCACTTGTACACTGTAGCAATGATCAGGTCTGTAGCAAACATAGACGGACCGACAGATCAGGTTACATCTCACAATGATCTCTTCTTGTCTCCTTTAAGGAAAAGGAGCGTCTTGAACTTGACCTTGAGGAGGAGAGAAGAAGATGGGAGGCGGAGAAAGTGGAGCTGCAGGCGTCAGTCAAGAAACTTCAGAAGGTGGGGCAGCTTTTCTGATTTTATCGGGCTTCTTTTTTTACCAAATAATTGTCTTCACTTTATTTGCATATCAATCAATAGTTTGTGCTTATAAAGCTGCATTTCCCTTCTGGTCTCTCAGTCACTGACGAAAGCTAGTGGATACTAGCTGAAACGTCTGACATTTCCAAAATCATATCCAGTTGCTTGAGTAACTGCTTTTTGGCGTATCGTATTACCTGGATGTCTAACCTTCACCGAAACATTCAGCTGTTGACAGTTGCGATGAGAAGTTCTTATATAATAGCACTCATGACAAGTACACACCGAGGAAACTCTCCAACCAAAGAATTTGATTGGAGAATTCTCACAAAGGAGGACAATCAAACCTGAAATCAGGTGTCTAAGAGGCGGTTTCTGTGCCACAAGGCGGGAGGCAAACCTCAAGAGCGGGTAAGAATAGTGCTAACTTCAAAAGAAGATGCTACAGGAGCAATCCTAGGGCTCATTACAGGCTGAGTTTACAGAAGTACTTGTTAAGGACACTCATTAGGACGTACAAGAAACGTTAACAACGCAGCTGTCAAGAGGTTAATGGCTCGGATGTTTGCTACATGTGTCAGGTTTACAGTAGCAACTCTTACTGATGCTCGTCTGTAGCAAGATTGTAGCAAAAGTGGTTGGGAGAGTTTTGTCGGTGTGTACTTGAGTCATGAGTGCAAGTGTAAGAACTTCTCATCGCAACTGTCAACAGCTGAATGGTTACAGAGTTTGCTACAAGTGTCAGGTGTGGTATCTGTAACTGTAGGTATCTGGGAGACGGTTGACAAATTGTAGAAAAATTGCCATAACGATGGAAAAAATGCCATGTTGATTGAACAGACACGAGCCTGTCCTGATCCCCAAATTATTACATCAGAACCTTCCTGGCTGTTATTAAAATCCATAAAGTCGCGATTAGAACAACAATAACGTCTGTGCCAGCTGCGGGGAAAGTCTGGATTCCCAGAACATGAACAAAAGCGGATCAACACCAGCTGGTCTCGGCTACATTGTAACAACCTCGCGGGTTTACATTGTAGCCGTTTATATCGCCACTGTGTACACTGTGGCAGTGAAGTGGGTTTAGCGGCATTGTGGCAGATTAATGGGACGTTTTGTTACAGTTTCAGGAAGTTCTGTTGTCACAGTGTGGCGGTTTGAGGGGCTACTGTTGCATGTAGCAGATTTTATCAGCTACGGACGAAAATATCTCTTGCTTTAAGAGGGAAATTAAAAAGTAAAAATAGCAGCAGAGTATTGTGACAGTTTGAGGACATCTGGTTACAATGTGACAGTTTTTATGTCTCTTGTTACGGGGTTCCTTCGTTAATGACAATTAAGAAGCAAAAATAGCAACAGCGTATTGTGGCAGTTTGAGAACGTTTTGGTTACAATGTGGCAGTTTATTTATGTCTCTTCTTACGGCTTGCATTCATTAATGACAATTAAGAAGGAAGTATAGCAGCAGCGTATTGTGGCAGTTTTTAAACGTCTGGTTACAATGTTGCAGTTTTTTTATGTCTCTTGTTACAGCTTGCCATTATTAGTATCCAGTGAATGACAACAGGAAAGAAAAATAATAAGAACTATAGCTTTTTGAATTCAAGAGGAGTATTATCATTCAACATTGTCTGATATTTGAGCTGACAAATGTCATGTCTTTTGAATTATTTCTTTCTTTAATATTCAAATTGCAACGGAAATACTAGTACGTATTGTGCAAATTCAGCTGATGCTCTGCTTTACACATTAAAAATATTACACACAACCATTAGATGCAGGCAAAAATTAAGTCAAATACATAAATAGCTGTACAAATAAAACAGTGGCATTATGAAAAAATACAACCAAAATATTATGTCTTGTAACACAGCTGAACACAGACTATAATTTTTTCCGCTCATCCTTTTTCCTCTGTGGTTCCAGATGGAGGCGAACGCGAGAAAAGACAAGAGTAAAGAAGACTCCGTCGGCAACTTGAAAAGAAAACTGGAAAACCTCATGCAGGTGAGTCTAACTTACCAGCAGGCACCTCACGGTGTAGTGGCGACCTCTGGCGATTGTTGTCAGTACTACAAGTTACTGTTAGTTGGTGGTTGCACAATCGTACCATCAAGTTATCAAATATCAAATACATTAATCATATTTTCCAAAATGGACTTGAAATCAATAGTTTTCAATCGATCAATCATTTAGTATCTGTCTCTCATTTTCCAGGAAAACTGGAAATTGATGAGCAGCCTGTACCAATGTATCAATCGATCGGTTTTGTATTTTCCATGAGAACCGGAAGATCTTTTCCAGGAAAACCGGAAGTTAAAGAGCATTTTCCATACTATTTTCCAGGAAAACCGGAAGTTAAAGAGCATTTTCCATACTATTTTCCAGGAAAACCGGAAGTTAAAGAGCAGCCTAACAGAATCCAACACGAACGCCGCGGTGCTGAAGTCCGAACTGACGCAGCTGTTTGTTACTATTTTCCAGGAAAACCGGAAGTTAAAGAGCAGCCTGACGGAGTCCAACACGAACGCCGCGGTGTTAAAGTCCGAACTGACGCAGCTTCAGGCCGAGTTCGAGGAGAAGTGCGAGGACTTGGACAGGTGGTAATAACGACCCGCAATTTGCTCATAACAACCCGATAAAGCCTTTCCAGTAGCTATAACCACCGAATAAAACCAACGAGTGAGCGTAGCGAACGAGGTGGTTTTATTCGGTGGCTTTATCACACCATATACACCGAGGATCAGGCGGGTCATTAACGTTATTATCATATAGCCTATGCAAACTTGCACAATAAAGAGTGCCACTGACACATTCCTGTATAACACAAACAAATCGTTAAAGTCACTCCTCTATCCTCCCGTCCACTGGCCACCGTTTCTGTGCATCTTTCCCAGATTTCAAGGACCCAAAATTGAGTCTAAATTGGCCTCAGTCAGTTCTTAATTCATTTATACGAGCTATGACGTCCAGCCAGCGACTGGTAGGCAAAGAGCCCAAAATTTGCACATGTCTCCAAGTAATTTGCATGTATATGATGTACGCAAACACAACGATCGCTCGTCCTGAATTGTTGCTGTATTTTTCAGGGAGAGAAATTCGCTGTTGGATTACGTCACAGAACAACAGAGCCTGTCCAGACAACTGGAAATGCTACAGTAAGGACTGATTTTGCTACACATTTGTTACAACTTTGTTACACATGTTATACTGGGGGGGGGGATGTTAACGTACTAGATACATATGACTTGCGGTGACAACTTACGGCGAAATCATACATGCTTCTTCAACCGTAAAATTGGGCTAAGACATTTCTGCCAATCCCAGTTTTCTCATGGTAAAATGACCCACTTGTACAACTGTTACAGTGGATGGAACGTATATTCATGTTATCAGATATCCATGTTAGCGTGGAGTAATAACAGTGGTTGATACTCCCCTAGGTTAACAATGGATCACCCCCTTCCTTCGCCAACTCTTTTCGGCTTCATTGCCAAGGTTAACATCTTATTTCTGTAGAAAATGCAGCGTTCTAATATAAAATATCTACAATAAAATGCCACCTTAGCCAACCTCATATTCATACTGTTGACATGGTCCGAGGAACTTAGACTCACAATTAATGTTGACATAGAAAGAGGGTGTTGTAGTTTGTACGTGTGCGGCATACCTTTGCCTGGGTGTGTTTCATTTAGATTGTTTTGGGAACACCTAGAGTCACAGGTCAAATGTGTGTAAACGCTCGTAACAGTTTAAACCTCGGGTTTGTAACATGGCGGGTCTTAGACTTGTGTGGAGACTGTCTTCTCAAGATCTTGAGCTCAGGCAAGTGTTGTAGGGTCTTTAAGGTGTCTTAGGGAGTCTTCAGATAGCTAAGCTAGGTTTCAGAAGTATGGTGGGTTGTTGGAGTTAGTAATTGTGAGATTGTTATCTAATGGCACTGTACACTGAATATAAATAGTAGAAATCGGCCTTAAAGGGAGATTTAACTGGCCAGAGGAGTTGGTCGGTCAGAGAGGGTCCATTTTACCTGTTTCAACACAGATAAACTTTCTTGTTGATGACAGTGTTGTTTGGTCCACCTGTCATAGAATTTTTTAGTCAGACTGTGGGAAATTCGCGGATCTTTAACCCAACATTTATCTATTATTCCAGAAACACCAACAAGAAGCTAAACGACACGAACGACAGTCTGAGAGAATCCCTGGGCAGGGGAAAGAGAAGCAGCAACAGACCGGTAAGTGCTTAAATCTTACACCTTTCTATTAACCAAACTGTCGTCGTTTCGTAATTATGCCAATAGATATCGATTTAAACGTGTTAAGATTAATTTTCAAGAAGTATATTTAGAAAACATTTAATGTATCTATGTGCCAATCTGTCATTAAACAATTTGACTTTATCAGAAAATCGACCCTTGACTGTGAATCTCAAAACCATACTGAATAAGCTCTCCTGTAAAGTAGACTAGTCTCATAGTATGTTTTTGTGTACCAGTAGATGCCATACTTTGCACCTCGTACAACTGTTATGCAATGAACTACATTATTACCCCCCCCCCCCTTCCAGTCCCGGACGCCCTCCCCCTTCCTACAGAGAGACCGGGACGGGTCCGTCATGAGCGACTACATGATGACACCGGAACCGGATATGAGGTATGTCATTTCATTTAATTTATCACACTCAGATCCATTTGTTGTTTTCGTTTTGTTTTTTTGTCATGGGAATCCTGTGGTGTTGGCATGGATTACATTATGTCGCAGTTGGCAGGGCAGAGTTTGAGGGGCTGGTCAATGAAGAAGGTCAATGACCAGGACCAGATGTCTGTCACCATGGTGTTGGGTTATATAATGTTACCAGTGCCATGCAGAACTTAGTTCAAGAGGGGCTGCATGGTCACCATGTATCACCATGTATAATATGTTTGAGTAAGAATAAACAGAGCAGTAGTTTATTAAGCTCAGGACCATGTGAATATAAACAGCATGCATGTGCTAAGATATTCTTATCCGTGATAAGATGTTTCTGTTTGTAATTTCCAGCCCTGAACTGCTGAGGAGCCTGCGAGGCAGCTTCTCGTCGCTAGAGGACCTCACAGCCTGCGATCCTGGCAAGCGGAAGTGCAGCAACGATATCGGTAAAATCCGCTTTACGTCATCAAAAGCTAGCCCCCAACAGACTCCTTTGCAGGCTGAATAAATAGTAGAAATCGGCTTAAAAAGAATGTAGCTTGCCAGGGGAGTTGGCCTGCCATAGAGGGTCCAGTTTACCGGCTCCCCTGCCCAGCTACATTCCTTTTTAGGCCGATTTCTACTATTTATTGAGCCTGCAAAGGAGTCTGGTGGAGACTAATCAAAACCTACTCGCAAAGAAGAGGTTCATCCTTATACTTTTTGGCGTGTGTATCTTGGTTCTTTTATCTGTACGAGAACGGTGAATGGATGGAGGAAGGGATGGAGGGATAGATGGATGGAAGGATGGAATGAGAGACTTATGGATGGGTGGATGGATGGACTGAAAGAAATTGTTAATATGTAGGACAATGATTTCATGCCTCACTACAAAAAGGCGGTTTTGTCCCACCACGCCCCGGGGGCGAGCGCAGACAACTCCTGACCTACAAATATCACACAAATATGACGACCCTTATCACAATGAAAAATTGGGCAAAAATTCTTTTCAATGTCAGAAAATATCTGAGTTTTCAAAAAAATGTTTACATCAAGTGACAAGTCAACGTTTCTGCCGAGGTATAAAAAAACCTGCATGTACATGTGTGTTGAGTATCTGAAAAAAGGAATGGCAGACTTTCTAATATCATTTACAACACGTTTACATCCCAGACATATATCTACCGGTTAGTCCCCAGGCCATACTAAATTGTACATCCCCCAAACATGTATATATACTGATCGGTCCCGGGGTTAATCTGGCTGACACTGTAACAAAACAGTAGTAGTCGAACTTCTCTGTCACTGAATATCTACTTTTGTCAGGCCCAACCCACATAGTCGGCTGTATGGCATTCAGAACGTCTAACACACGGGATTACTCTCTACAGACTGCTTAAGGATCATTTTCCGGATATCCTGGATCAGCTTCAGGAGATTTTCTGGATCATTTGAGGAGATTCAGGATCTCCAGTTTTAGGATTGATCAAGTGCGAGATCCAGCCATGTTCTGGAAAGTTGTTCATGTGGAAATTTCACCAGCCTTCGGTCGAATGTGTCGCGTCCAGACCGCCAAATACTGACGGGATCACTCTTCAGACAACTTCTGGATCATTTTCAGGATCTCAAGATCGTAACACTGGATCTCTAAGTTTAGGCCTGACCAAGTGCAAGATCCAGCCATGTTCTGGAAAGTTGTTCATGTGGAAATGTCAACAGCCTTCAGTTGACTGTGTGGCGTTTGACCGCCATTAAACACTGCCGGAATCTCTCTTAATATTCAGACAACTTTTGGATCATTTTCCGGATCACGAGATCGCAATTCTGGATCTCTAAGCTTAGGATTGACCAACTGAAAAATCCAGCCATGTTCTTGACAGGCATTTATGTGGCAATTTGACATGCCGCCATGTTAAGGTTACTTGCGGACAGACAGACAATGTGAACCTTATTTGACTGCAGACTTCCTTCTTAAGGTTTTTTTTTGTTCTTCTGGATTGTCTGGAGACACTGAGGATTGCCTTAAGGTAGAAAAAATCAGGCCAGGCATCAAGAAAGTTTCTCACTTCAAACTTGGAATGGAAGAATCAACGTTACTTAAAAATGGCACGTGCGAAAACTTCTCTGAGTGGGAAATTATGTGACAAGGTCTTAAACGTGCACAAGAGAAGATTTGTGATTTTCATTCAGAGAAAGTTTTGGTAACTGTTATTATGTATGTAGGTCACGTTTTGTGCTAAAGTCGCTGGCGGCACCTGGGGTAATTTATGACACATTTACACACAGACGAACAGATAGCAACAATCTGCTACGGAAATACTTTCTACTAGGAGGTAAAGTGGACACAACGACGCGTACTAGACCTGTGGTATAGTCGCACAGAAACCTTAGGGACATCATCAACGTCAAATTAGGTCTTGATCCTGTCAATCTACCGATCAAAGTCGAACGTCAATCATCTTAACCCCCCCTCCCCCAACTTGTCTCTCTTCTTTAAGGTACAAGTTTTCCTGTGAGAGGAATAACGTCAGGCTTTGCGGAATTTTGCACCTGTCCCCCGCAGTTGTTTAGTCAACTTGTGCTATACCGGATGTCACGTTTTCCCAGAACATTGGACCAACCCTTTGGTAACCACAAAAATCTAGTCTTATCCGGCTGCCAATCATCCTCACGTTGCTAGGATACCGCAAGTAACTTCATTGTCAAGAATCACCGAGGAGAAACGGTTTTGTGCATGTTTTTGGGGCTGAATTTATTTGTCTTTTGGGCTGCGCCAAGGTATTGCCTGAGGCATTGTTGCCTGTTGTAAGCCTCTGATACTGTGGTCTTTGTGTTGCAGTCATTATATATGGTTCGTTAGACTGAAGAATTGAACTCATGGTAGTGTACACTTCGCTAGTCAGCTTGGCCATTTGAACCCTTGTGAGTGTATACATCACTAGTTACACACACAAAAAGAACACAGTTACTCAAGCAACTGGACAGACTTTGAAAATTGTCAGACGTTTCAGGTAGCATTCTGTCACTACTTTTTAAGTGCCGGAAAGAATAGACACATAGAAGAAGGTATTAAAGGTCGGATTTGTACATACACACCCTCTCTAACCAGTGAGGGCGATTTGAACCCTTTTTAGTGTACACATCACTGTCACCAAGTACAGTAGGGGCACTGTCAATAGATAGCTTTAAACAATGTCTAGAGCTAGAAGTTCAAGGGTTAGGTGTAACAAGTCGATCGGTGTAATATAGCCAGCTGCCGCCGCGCCGCGTGCCTGCGAAGCTGGTGTGTTACGCCGAAAGGCGGTTATACCGGCTATACAGATACAGATACAGATACAGAGTTACACAAGAACACTGTTACTCGCACAGTTACTCAAACAACTGGATAGATTTTGAAAACTGTCAGACGTTTCAAGTAGCATCCTGTGACTCCTTTTTACAAGAAATGTAGGCCTCCTTCCCTGTTGAGGGTGGGATTGTATGTTACTGTCTCTCTAACCAGCAAAGTTCGTGAACTCTTGTTGGTTCACAGGTCACTAGTTTTCAACGTGCAGACAACTTCTGTTGCAGAAAAGCGGAAGAAGAGGCAGTATGTATATCGCCTTGAAGCCTTGACTTAACTTTTCTTGAAGAAGTGACAGTACATCTTCTGAATGACTTCGTTCCGTGGTTGCCTTGCCTTTCGCCTTGATTTCTTGAGGCAAGACAATACCTGAATACGAAGAATTTATTACGGTTGATTTTGAGGAGCTAAACGTGCTTTGTTAACGCACAATTACAAAGGGACATGGAAGACTTTCTCGATCTCCTTTTTGTCGGCAAAAAGAAACAGCCCAAGAAACAGGCCAAGAAAGACGGCAGCAAGACCAAGGAGAGACCCAAGAAAGAGGAGAGCAACCTTAAGATGGGACAGCAAGAAGCCAAGACGGTAGCTGAGCCTACCAGGCGGCTAAAGAGAACCCGGACGCCGCCTGGCAGTGTGTCTAGTGGAGGCACCGAGTCCCTGAGTAGTCTGAGTAGTGGATGGGAGGAGATACGCGACGGGTGCCCGAGGGGGATCACCATCATTGGCCGGGACCAGGCAAGGCATGTCAGCGGGAGACAACGCGAGGCGCCCCGAAGGCAACACCAGGTCGCCCCGGTGGATACCACAACCTTCTTCGACGACGACGATCCCTACAGAGACGGTATAACAATCACCGGGCGCGACCAGCAAACCGGCGGGAGACAGGACGAGTCGCCCCGACGGCACTCGGACATCGCTGCGGTGGACAACCCCATCTTTTCTTACGATAATTCCTTCACCTTGGAGGACGGTGGATACTCGGACTCTACGGAAAACACAGCGGGGGACGGCTTGTCACCGCTCGGCTGGGAAGCTTACCCAGCCCGAAGGCAGTCGGAACCAGCTCCGGTAAAAAACCGCCCCTCCCCATTCGGTCGCGCCGGGTCGTTACGGATGAGCAGGTTGAATAATGATTCTAACGACCTCAGCCGGAACAACAACTTCGGGGCAGGGCAGGACTTTCACACAGGGACAGACTTTCACACAGCCGGTATTTCACACATTTCTGAGCCTGTTTTCACTGATAACAGCCGAGTATCTAACATGGCGGCCTGCGAACTTGCCCCAACTGCAGCAGGAATCCCTGAGGAAAGCTCGTACGGCAGAAACGTCGTTTCACCCGCGTTTCACGACGAACCGTCTTCAGGGGATCTAACAGGTGGCACCGACGGGACTGAAGAAGGAGGGTTGGGGAGGGAACGGCTCCTAAACATGGCTCCTGTTCGTGGGAGAATCGGGACGGATCCAGCTGGTTTCCCTACTTTAGATCGCACGATGATCCAGCCTGGTGATCGGACGATCCGGCCACGGGATCGCGTAGCGGAGCTAAAGCTGTTGAAGATCCAGATGTTAAAGGAAAGGCGCTTGGCGAACTCCCAGCTTCGCGCTCACCACGCTGCCGCACAGGCCAGGACGCAACTGCAAGGCTACCTGCGCACATTCAACTCACCTGAGTTTACCTACAACACACCTGAGAGGACCTACAACTCACCTCAACAATTACGTAACGTTACCACACCTGAGCAGTTCAGCTTACGTAACTTCAGTACACCTGAGGAGGACGAAACTTCCGTAATCACGACCGGGACAGGGTCGGACGGTCTGGATCCCGCTGAAGATCCGGAAACGGAATTCCAGCCGGATCCGAGGCACAGTTTGGATCAGTACCTACACGATCTCAACATGGCTGCTGAGAGTAAGACTTCCCTCCGTCTTCCACCCAGATCGTCTTTAAGAAAGCCACCTGAACCTTCTGTAGGGCCTCAGACGTCTTCAAAAATGTCTTGGCGAGAGAAGAGACAGCAGAGGCTGATAGGAGGGTACGTACAGCCTGCTAAGCAGCAGCTAAGGAGGGGATACTTAAGAAACCTTGAAGACGTTTTACAAGAAGGCTGGGAAGGAGCCCCAAGGAGCGAAAATGGCGACCACCAAAATACCGCGAATCAAAACGGTAGCGACACCTTTTTGCCAGGAAATCCTCAAGAGTTTGAAAACCAAATTCTTCTGGACACAAGAAACCCGCCTACGTATGACGACGTCTTGCAAGGCGACGCCGCTTACGAGCGCCAAGTCTTAGACGAGCCAAGAAACGGGGAAGTCCTTAGAAGTCAAAACGGCGAAGATGGAGCTTCTGACAGCAAAGATGGAGGTTCTCATAGCAAAGATGCCGAAGGGCCGTTGAAAAAACTCCCAGGGGAGCCCGAAGAGTTGTTCCAAGCCCGTACGGAAGGTACCGAGGCGTCCATCCGAGATGCTCGGGACGAGAGGCGCCTCTACACCGCCCAGACCCGGACCCGCGCCCCGGTAAACACCGCCGAGACCCGGGCGCGTGTCCCGGACCTTCAGGACCGCATCAGGAGGTACAGAGACGAGCGGAACGGCAGACGGACAGGGGAGAGCACGGAACGTGCAGGTGTGTGTTGCAGTGTCGTACGGGTGGCATATGTGATATATAATAAAGGGTTATAGGCCCCAAGGTGTATATGGTGAGGTGCGATAACTATCGAACAAATACCGAACAAACCACCGAGTAAGCATATATATAATGTACCACTGTTAGTGTCCCGTCCCTTGTATAAATAGTACTGTAAAAAAGTGGTCGGTTGGATGGGTGAAAAAAAGGATGGATGGATGGATGGATGGATGCAGGTGTGTGTTACAGGTAGATCAGTAAAGGTACAGGTGTGTTTTACAGATGGCTTCTATGATCATGCAGGTGTGATATACTGGTCACAGGTGAATTACCATGCATGACATAATTGATGAAAGAATGGATTGATGGATGGATGGATGGAAGAATGGATGGAGGAATCATTTCTCTATATCTTGTTGGATACACACGCTTTATGCTTGTTATTGTATATCTGCATAGTTGTTATGTTTTATATTAATTGTACAATGTCGACTACGAGCACGTCTTTTTGTATGCCTATTTATGTATTTGTTTGTTTGTGCAGACAGTGGACACTCCACCATGAAAGATCCAGAAGAGTCGGATATTTATTTGTTTGTTTATTCATTTGTTTGTTTGTTTGTTTGTTTGTTTAGACAGCGGCCACTCCACCATGAAGGATCCGGAGGAGTCCGATAACGAGTTTACGCAGAGCACGGCAATTTCCGGACTGGGAAAACATTCCGGAACGGAATCGGAAATAGACGACTCTAAAACGGAGGTGAGGAAAAATTCTCATTCATTCGTACAATAGAAAATGTTCATGTTCCAGAAACTACGTAAAGATACTAAATCACAAACGACAGTTCTGAAGCCAGTTCACTAGATATATAAGCCGGGTACGTACGGAGGGATACTTAAGGAAATTGTCGACCTTAATAAGCCATAATTCATTTAGTTTTTATGCTAGCATGTTACTTTTTGGGACTGTTTTCTATTTTTTCTACATTGCTCTCCGAATGTGCCCACCAAAGGCTTAAGTCAATTGGGAAAATAACTTGCTAAATTGGATATGTGCAATTAGTTACAACTGAAATCGCAGAACACTCGTTACAAATTACAATTTTTTTCGCTGCCATTGAGTTGAGTTAAACTCTGTAATACCAAACCGGATGTGACACTTGTAAACAGACTCGTTGACCCGGAATAGATTCCTTGGCAGGGTGTATGTAGGAACATGTAGTCTCGTGCTGGGAGATAATTAGCGTGATTTTCTTGGGTCGACCTGTAATTGCTGTTGCCTCGGCCTTTAATTTTGACTTATTAGAGCAGAAACAACGTGTAATTAAGGACGTTTGTTCTCTTGCTAATATGCTGCAAGTCATTTATGACTTTGCCAATTAGATAGATTGCTTTTTTTATGTACCCGACGGAAATATATCTTTAGCTTGATTGTAAAGACTGGAAGACATTCATAGTCCTTCACGGACTACAAGAAGACCGATCAAAAAGGGCAGAAAGAGTGTCTAAAAAAAAAACAACTTCGAGCCTTCCAAAAATGATATTTGCAACTAGATGTGTGTATGAATCTCACTACATGATCCTACATATTCGGCTCTATTGTGTCAAAATTCACCAGGGACATGTAGGGTTGTAGGAACATAGTTGTGTAACCCATAATATAGGTGGCATAGAGGAAACAGGAGCTTAAGTGTTGTCTATTCACCAGGGACATGAAGGTATGCAGGAACATAGGTGTGTAACCGGTAATTCTGACTCCCTGCACGTTATAGTAAGTGTGAGTCGCTGCTATCTGAGATCATCCGATGGTGGGTAATCAAGCGGAAAGGTTTTTGTTTGTTTAAATAGCACAACCGGTAAACCGCCTTTAGGCGTAACACACCAGTTTTGTACATGTAAGTACAAGCTGCGTTAGACCGGACTGTAAGGTTTGAACCACTCACACCGGAAAGGTCCCCTACTCTTTTCGATAAGTGTGGTGGGTTCTTTAACGTGCGTGGGGTGTGGCTCTCCCCAAACACTTGACCTCCATTTAACGTCCTATCCGAGGGACGTCCCTAACCGAAGCTAGGTGCTCGTTTCCACCTGAGTGAAGTGAGGAAAGTTGCATCACCAGACAAACCAAACCAGTCAGACGGACGTATGGAGATAATGTTGGGTCATCAGGGCAGGTCATAGGTCATGCAGACAACCTGTTGATCTATGTTTTCATTTTAAGGCAGTGACGTCAGCGTTACTTTGATAAACCTTAGGCTTGTCAGAGATGGAATTTTATCCACATATTTTGGTCTTGTAAAAGTTGAAATCTATTTGTTAAGGTAATATCAGACCACACTGTGCTCTATGCAAGTTACCAAGTAACTATTTGCGGAAAATTTAATGTTCAGGACCCTTAAATTAGGCGGCAGTGCGGATATATGTATAGAAATGACACTTAATTAATAGGTAACAGTGGCATTAAATAGGTAACAGTGGCATTATATGTGTGAAAATAACGTAATGCAAAATAACTGTAAAACAGGCCTTTCATCAAATCACCATAACATTAATTAGCAAGCAAAATACCATGGACTTTACTCACTTCTGTAAAATGTTAAGTTTGGGTACTCGCTGTAATAAAGGCAGCGGCGCCCCCTGCCGGGCGATTTGATAACTGCAGCCCAGTCCGACAGCATTCCGCCATGTTTGTTAACACACCTGTTCCTTACCTGCAGGTAACTTTACCTGTCACAGGTGAGCAGACAATAGACAGGTATTGCCATTGCTTACACAGAACTGTAATATGTAACATACACGAACGCCTCTGAAAACATAACCTTCTTGGTGAAGGTAACATGTTGTCTCCGCAACAATGTAACAAACATGTATCCATTCCTGCAGGCTCCTGACTCCCAGGACGAGGCGATGGAGTCCGAAGGCGAGGCTGACTCTCAGCTGGAGCACAGGCACAAAGGTCAAGGTCGCCAGGCGGTCACGACGGTACAGAGACAGCACAGTACACGGGTGCTTCCACAGGCGCCCAGAAAGGTACGGGTTTATTTTGTTTAACTTCTCATATTAGAAGAAAATAAGAAAATAAGAAAAAAAAAGAAAAAAATTTGTTACGTTTTTTCTTTGGTTCCAACCTAGTAAGGTCAATGTCATGGACCAGACGGCTGTCACCATGGTAACTGGTGCTGTAGCAGACATTATATAGCGAGTGGCAGGACAGGGTTGGTGGGGCTGGTAACCGTATTTATGAATGTGTTTGAATCACCCTGTAGTGTTGGATTACATTATGTAGCAAGTGGCAGGACGGAGTTGGAGAGGCTGGTCACCGTATATATAACTGTGTTTTTAAGAATCGGAACTTTCTGGTTTTTCCTTAAGCAGATTGTGTCGGCCGGAAACGTCGCGCACGTGGCGCCCAGCAGACAGGTCCCGCCTGTGTCGGCGTCGTCACAGGTACAAACAAACAAACAAACAAATAAACAAAGGTGAAAGGTCGCACAGTGGGGGATGACGTCCACAGAAAGTCACTGGCCAATGAAGTGCAAAACTATGTTTTTAAACTGTCAGAGTAATTTCATTTCATATCCTTAAAAAAGGATTTCAAATTTGACACAAAAGTTTTTGTATAGCTTACATGTTTCAGATACAACCTGGCCAGTAGCTTTCTGTGGTTGAAACTAACACATTACAAACTTTTCTATTTCTACTAATTCACGACTTTTTCTAACCCTAGTAACACACAGGGAAAGGTGACATGGCGATGGCACGCCCAGAGGTGATTGGTTAACACTGATAACGTCACTAACCAATCACGATGACACCTTCGCTTTTGATATCACAGTTGTAGCTACCACCACTCACCACAGTGAATGTTACTCACAAGGTCAAAGGTGATTGGAAGTCGGTACCGACTCCCGTCCGATTTGATTGACATCTGAAGAGTTCTGACGCAGATAACCTTAACATTCCACATTTCCTGTCCCAAATTAAACAACGTCCACTACCATATGTTGTTCTCTAACACGAAACGTTTGTTTTTTTAACTCTGCTACTGGATAAGCTACAGAGATTACTTCCGGACGTTTTGAGTGACACTCTTCTTCAGCGTCATGTTCGGAAGTAATCTCCGTATTATGTCCAGGAGTAGACACTGACCGCCCTTGGAAATCAGCAAAGAATGATATGATATATTAAGCCGTAGGGGCAAGTCAGTTGTCTTAAGATGGAATAAATAAACAAATGCTGATTACCTCCACCCCCAGGTCCTGTCCAGCACGACCGCTCCTGCCGACCAGAAGATGTTTAAGGTTGTTTTGGCGGGAGACGCGGCCGTGGGGAAATCCTCCTTCATTCTGCGGCTGTGCAAGAACGAGTTCAGGCCAAACATGAACTCCACACTAGGTACGAGATTTGTTTGTTTACTATAGCCTCTACCAGGCTTCAGAAGGCGACTGGAAAGAGTAAAAATCTGTCAAATAGAGAGATAACATGCCAAGGGAGTAAATGGTCTGCTGGAGAGAACAGACCAACTCCCTCGGCATGTTATCTCTCTATTTGCCCGATTTCTAACTCTTTTCAGCCGCCTCCCGAAGCCTGGTAGAGGCTATGTTCACTAGTGTTATGTTTACCTTCGCAGAAAGAAAGCATGTTGTTTTTGCTCTCGCTGTTTGTATCATGTAACCAGGTGCCGTAGCAGGCACATTGTGGTGTTGGGTTACATTATGTAGCAAGCGGCAGGACAGAGTTAGAGGGGCTGGACACCATGTCCGACTGAAGACTTAGGACATGTGTGTACTTAGACGATTGGCCTTTTTTTAAGTTCCTCGTGTATTCTGAGACGTTATTTAACCTCACAGGTGTGCACAAGACATTATTGTACGTTCTTCAGGTGTTCTAAGACTTTTATTCCGTTTTCCAGGAGTGGATTTCCAGATGAAGACGATGGTGATCGACGACACGCCGGTGACCTTGCAGATCTGGGACACGGCGGGGCAGGAAAGGTCAGTTCCGTTCCGTTTCGCTTCCGGGTCATAGCCATCATTCAACTGTGCATTTCCGGGTTATTGATTCAGAAAGTATTCACCTTTCCGTTTCCAGGCCAAACCCCACATTCAATTTTCCGTTTCCCTTTCCGTTTCGAAACTCACGTCTATGACATTCCGTTTCCGGTCCCAGATTCCGGGGCAACGCAAAGTCGTATTTCCGGAGAGCAGACGGAATTCCTGACAGGAATTTTTTCCTTTTTCAGATTCTAGATAATGGCGTCATGTTTCTGGTGTTCTAACGAAACATAATGTTTAATGACCGTTTTCCGTTCGCAGATTCCGGAGCATCGCGAAGTCGTATTTCCGTCGTGCTGACGGCGTGCTGTTGTTGTACGACTGCACATACGAACCGTCCTTCGTGCACGTGCGGGAGTGGGTCGACGCCGTCGAGGTGAGAACAGTCTCGTCTTAATAACAGTCTTAAGACACACACCTGTACGATTTGGCTTGTCTTAGTAGCACACCTGTACGAGTTAGTTGAAAACCCCTTTATCTATCAGGCAGTATTAGTACCGAGACATGCATTTACCATAATTTTTAGTTGAACTGCCCCTCGAGGTAACACAACCAGACTTTGCATCATCAGCTGAGAACCATTTTCGTCTACCAGACTGTATTTGTATAAGCTTTGGGCATAACAGTAAGCTTCGAGAATGGAGACAGTTTCCATCGCAAACGATTCCTGCATGGTACGATGCCTTAGAAAAGAAGATGTTTATCCTTGCTTTCTTGTCACAGAACTTATTCCACTCTTGTTTCTAATTTTTGTACAGGACGGCGCCCCCAGAACCCTTCCCATCATGCTTTGCGCCAACAAACTGGACCTGCGCAATGACGCCATCAAGAGCGGCCAGAAGGTCATCCTCAAAGGTCACGGAGAGGAGATGGCCAGAGTGAGTTTTTTAAAACTCTTTTTAGACCATTTTTAGACCATCTTTTTCTTCATCTGACCGGAAATTTAGAAACCCTTTGATAAATGGATTTAAATGTGTTCTTAAAAAAATCAAAGAGTAGATAAAACCATCTAAAAGATTCTGAAGAAAAAAACAAGTAATACTTGATGTCAGAGGACCGATCTATTCATGAACGTTTTTATCATTATATTTACCTTGGTCTTTTGGACGTTGATACATGTATCTTCATTCATTCATTCATTCATTCATCCATCCATCCATTCATCCATCCATCCATCCATCCATCCATCCATCCATCCATCCATCCATCCATCCATTCATCCATTCATCCATCCATCCACCCATCCATTCATCCATTCATCCATCCATCCATCCATCCATCCATCTGTCCATCTATCCATCCACCAATCCATCCATCCATCCACCCACCCATCCACCCATCCATCCATCGACTCATTCTTTCTCTCATTAACTCATTCTTTCCTTCCCTCCTTCCCCCAGGAGCACGGCGCGCTGTTCTGTGAGACGAGCGCGAAGGAAGGAGACAACGTGCAGGACGCAGTGGAGAAACTCATGAGGTCAGAAACACGTTATGTTTAAAACTAGCATAATTTAGAAGCGGTAAATTCGTATACCAACAGTAGCCTCCGCCAGGCCTTTCTACGGGAATACGGATCGTAGAAATCGGCAAAAAGGAGAGAGAAATTGTCCAGGCGAGTCAGTCCGCAAAAGGTTGGTTCTTTCTCGCCGAACTGCACAACCAGTCAAACCTACAAGGCGGCCGAACTCCCCTGACAAATATTCTCCTATATACAGCCAGCGTAGTCTGGTAGACACTATTATACCAATACAGAAAAGGAATTGTACTGAATAAACAAATAACAAACAGATAATATATAATCATAATTATAATAATTGTTATTATGTTTTCCAGACAAATGATGCAGATGGATTCAGACGAGACGAGATCCAACATCCTGGACCTGAACAAGAAGGAGGAGAAAAAGTCCAAATGCTGCGGAGGGTCATAGCCACTGTGGCCCACATCGACAATCTGCCGGGATCACAACTATTGTAGAGCACAGGGACATAGTCTGGCGAGAACTGTAACCACCGTGGAAAATAATGACAATGCTGCGAATGATCGTAACTACGGTGGCCCATAACTACAATAATGCGGAGGATCCTAACTACGATGGCCCATACCTACAATTCTGTGGAGGATCGTGAATCGCTAAAGCGCTGTTTTGCGTCAAAAATCTCGTTTTGTCTAAAACTGTTGTACCATAATGTAACATAGACCCAGAGATGTAACAGTAAAAATTTTAGATGGTAGTAAAAACAAGATATTGTACATAAAAGAGAAGAAACTAGTATTTTTATGGAATATATGTTCTATAGATAGATATGTCGGCAGATAACTGGTTAGTATTTTTATACTGATCAGTTTTAAGAATATTTATTAGTGAAAGAGACTATATTTGGTAAAAACAGACGGTTTCAATGATAAGCTTTAATTTCCCACCTAAAATGTGAAATATGTACGTTTTATAAATAAGAACGGCTAGTCTCTACATTTGTACCCAAACTTTCTTTCAACAATGTATTGAAAGAGAATTTTCAATGTTGAATAGATGTTGACTAAAATGCTTATCTAGAATATGTTGAAACTTTTTAAATTTGTTTTATAATGAATCTTTGCTTAAATGATGTCCTACGTTCTAGAAATTTGAAGACCGTTAAAATTGAAAATTTTCAAGACGATGACTTTTTGTCAAGATTCTGAACTATGACCTGTGAACTATGAATTATGAACTATGGCCTATGACCTATGAATGCGCACAATCCCATGATTCCCGTCGACTCTGACGTAATGTATCACGTGTTCTATGCAGACGGGCGGTTCCCTGTGACGTCACAATGACGTCAGGACACAGAAACAAACGCCCGTTTCTTAACTGTTCCACCAACATTTATAATAAAAAATATGATTTTATGCATGACTGATTGGTTTTAACGCTTCCCCTCAAAAAACTGTTATTATCATATTTCACCTTTGACCTCACACATGCGCAACTCAAACTCTGAGCTGTAACTTTTGATTTGACGTTAAATGGATAGAAAATTTCTTTCAGATTTTGTCATTCAAATAGTGAAAATTGACACGAACCGAGCTTTGCAATGATATGACGAATGATATTCGGTGTCTAATATTATGATAGTTTTTATGATTGTACATATTGTCTATTTTTGTGTATATTGTTGAATTCTTGACGTATTTTATGTTGAGAACAGGAATCGATACGTTGAAAGAACGAAAAGGAGACGAATAAATTCATGAAAAATAAATTTCTCTGTCTTTGTCCTTCCTGTCTTTGTGTTATCGGGAGTTCTTCGCCTTCAAGTACTAGTAACTTGAGTAAGTTTTCAGGGGGTGACTAAATATTCTATAAAAGGATTGCAAAATAAAATAAAACGAATGAATGTTTGCGTTAATTTCGTAAACGTCATAAGAACACTTCTTTCTACCAAGGAAAAAAAACAGTGTCAATTTCTATCCCAGGCACCTCTCACGCACACCGTGGTACACCTCTCACGCACAGCTAGCTAGTAGCAAACATCTGCTACATGTAAGTAGCAAAATGTCTGCTACATATGAGTAGCAAACCATCTGCCACATGTAGGTCATCGTCCTTACATACAAAAGTTCTGCGGGCCGGAAGCAGCACCATTATTATTCACGTCACGGCCTGCCTGAGGGCTAACTGACAATAACGGCCTGTCTCAGCGAACTGTCGCGAGGCTCTGGAAGGGTTTATCAGCACTCCGCCCCCAACCTGGATCCATTCTGTAGTTGCCGTGTGAGTTTAGTTTGACCAAGGAGCTTCTAACATCGTTAGTCTCCATCAGACTCCTTTGCAAGCTGCGTCTATGCAAGCAAACTGGACCCTCTATGGCCAGCCAACCCCCATGCCAGCTAGCTACATTGATTTTAGACCGATTTCTACTATATATTCTACAGACCAAAGGAGTCTGGTGGAGACTAAAACATTGTTACGGGTTTGGTTTTTGGTTTATGTGATGAGCTTGGATATATCAGTTCGTGAGAGCATGGTGGGCCACGCAATGCATGCTGGGATATGCCGATTGGAATTGTGGGTTCGAGTATATTCTAGACCAGGATTTCAGGTGCGTCAGACGTGTTTTTGTAGTTCTCTGTAAGATTGTAGATCCGGTTTGTGCATTGTACCCTTGACTTGTTGTAACTTCCATATTTTGTAACTCAGTGTTAAGTTTGACTTCTTGTAAGCCTTGCTATAATAAGGGCTGGCGGTTGAGAAAGAATAAATCATAATAAACTCGGCTTCGAACGATAGAAATCAGATATTGCTTTGGTTTGGTATTTCTTTATTTATCGGTTTGGCTGTTGAACACTCAGCCAGGACAGCCCAACTAGCCAGTGGCTATTACAAAGGGCTTGCCCTGCTGACAAGACATGACAAGACATTACCGCAGGCTAGTTGGTCTGCCCTGGCTGTGAGGGTTGAACAGCCAAAACAAGAAATAACAAACAATAAACCAGAGCTAGAGTTAAAGCAAGACGTTACAATGGAATCTAACAGGTGTTTGCAATACAATGTATGTTGGGAGTTAGGCGCTAGGGCCTAAAACTCCCTCCAGTTAACAATTCATTCTTCAACAACATGCCATTTTATTTGTACTCATTCATATATTCGACGCAATTCGTACGGGCATGCATGCGGCTTATGACATATATCATACAACTGAAAAGCCAAACTCAAATCTATAAATCGGATTTTGCATAACCCCCGCGAGTGCCTCCGCTCAAACAATAGCCCAGCTGTAAAGGTTAAAGGTGACTGAAGGCTGGTACATTTAAATTTCCAGCCGCCATCGCTGACCGCAGGTGAACTGTACAACTTCCGATCTCTTCACATTCAAGGCGTTTGCGACGTGGACGTGGACTTCACATTCAAGGCGTTTGCGACGGAATTTGCCACCCAGTGAGTATAACGTTATAGCTAGTGTATGACAGTGTATCGTTGTTGTTGTTGTCCTTGTTTAACGTCTAATACCTTGCTAGACGTGGTCTCGTGGTGCTGGTTTGAGCTTGGTTCAGTTCAGAGTCAAACTCTTGGTGCCTAATATGGAATTATATGGAATTCTTCACCCAGTGTACAGCTACCAGACCTTGGATCGTCCGCACAAGTCGTAAATATGACAGTTCAGTAAATGGATGAGCAGCCCCAACTGTAAGAGATCTTCCTACGTGGCCCAACAGATCTACTGTCTACTAGAGACGTCGCCTGTAAGGACATAAACAGGTAAGCCGTGCAGGTAGATACATTAGGTGTGGGTGAGAGTGGGGAGGGGAGCTCAGGCATATTGTTAGTATGTGAGACATAAAGCGTTGTGTTAGCCAGGATGCCAGACCCATAGCACACTGGACACCAGGCTGCTGGACACAAAGTATCGCGGTGAGCCTTGAGATACTTCGTGTCCAGTGTGGGTCTGGCATCCAGGCTAACATTGTGTTTACAGTACAGCATATCTACTTAAACTGGTGAACCAACTTGAAGCGTAACACATCTGTTTTGTAGTCAGAGTTGTAGTAATGTGTGTAGTTTTGTTCAGTGCTGTGTGTGTGTGTGTGTGTGTGTGTGTGTGCATGTGCGTGTGTGTGCATGTGTGTGTGTGTGTGTGTGTGTGTGTGTGTGTGTGTGTGTTATACGCCCTACGAATCAGTAGTCACAAGTAAACAGAAAGTCCGGGGTACATTCCAACATACTAAACAGTATATCCGCTTAACAGCGTAACACAACAGTCTTGTAGTCAGATTTGTAGTTAGTTTTGTTAAGGGTCACTCGTGCCAATATCTTGCCTTCTACGCCGTACAATAGTCAACAAGTTCGGTACATTCCAGCCATACAGAATAGCACATTTGGCAGCGTGGCACAACGATAATATGGTAAGATTTGTAGTTAGTTTTGATAAAATCGTATATTTATTTATATATGTCAGATGCTTGTCTCATACGCCGTAAGAATACTAAGCCAAGTAGGTACATTCTAGCGTACTAAACATTTGACTTAAATAAACAGAAAAATAGGGAGTAGTATAATGTGGCTACCGGTTAAACTGTGGAATTTATTGTGAAATGTTCAGGAAATATGGATTCATAATGAAATAATGCCTGAAATGACGAAAAGTGGAGCGAAAATAATTTATGATTGACAGAAAAGGGGGCGTGAAATGTCTCAGACAGAGCCACTCAGACACGAGTTAACAGACTGGGCAAATGGAACAAGGCCATACTTTCAGTATAATGCCATTTATCGCTCCATTTGATACTGAGCAGTACCCTCATTTCACGATTCACGTTTCTTTAACGTACTGTAAAATTTCTACAAAATTCAGATGAAGGTAAAGTTTATGTCCCTGTGCATTTGCAATTATAGGCATACATGAAAGATTGTTTCCATGTTAGAAATTGCGCCAGTAGTTTTACAATGCCCTTTACGTATAGCAGAGATAACAAGGAAACTTTCTTCCCGGTTGGTCGTGAGCCTAGAAAAGGACCACCAACACAGTACGGTTTATCACACAGGTAGCACAGCACGTGTGTCGGCAGGTGAGAGAACAGGCACACCTGTACAGGTGTGCCGGGGGGCTGGGTCTACCTGTCCCTGTCACAGGGACAGACAGTTTAGCCGGCCCGAACAAACCAAGCACCGCTTGTCAAACTGGACCCTAAATTGTGCTCTTAGAAGTTAGTCTAAGAGAATTAAGACACGTTAAATACAGGTGTAAAGGGTGAGTAAGGAGACTAACTATCGGATAGTCTCCAAGCAGATCTTTCGGTGGCCGCAAAAGACGACGTCGACGGTATCAAATTGGCCAGGCAGCATCCACTATCTAGAAAGTATCTGTTGGGTGGCTAATGGATACTGTCGGGCCAATTTGATGTTGTCTTTTCCGGCCACCGAAAGATCTGCTTGGAGATTAAGTAACGGGTACTTCGTAATGATGTTAGTGAATTTAAGACACGTTAAATACAGCTGTAAAAGGTGAGTAAGGAGAGTCATTATCTACTCTCCAAGCAGAGGTTTGAGTTTTGGCTTAATTTAGGCATGTTTTTAGGCTTTTTTTATCGGGCTTTCGTTTTTGCGCTGGTATTCTTTTACTTCAACCAAACACGCCTCTTAAGCCAAAACCCAAACCTCTGGTTGGAGAGTAGGTAATTATGAGGCACTTCTCCGTGTGTTTACAGACTATCACGGTTCAGCGGTTTGTTGTTACGGTTCTGAGCGGGTCACAGAAAGTCGTGCATGCAGGACAGTCTAGTAGATAAACAACTATCAGCTTAATCCTGACGAAAACATTCGTTTTTTTCCATCTCAAAAAACCCCCATGAATGATCGTAAGACAACTCTATTATGAAAGCCACAGGGTGTCTGCGTTCAGACCCTCTTTCTAGGTCAAATGCGGAAAAATTAAGCCTGTTTGGACGAGATGATCTGTTGTAACGGGTATGAAAACTTACCTCAACCTTAAAAGGCGCGAAAATCAACACAGACATTCCCAGATGCTGACGTCACGATCAAACGACAAACACGGGCGACCCTAAGGCTTCAAGGCTTTATTTTTAAATGCTTGCTTCTGGTTTCTGGTCTTCTCTTTCAACAGGAATGAACTTTACGCCTTAGAAGGCGCGAAGTTTGCCACAGGCATTCCAAGAAGGTGACGTCACGATCAGACGACAATCTAGCACAAATTCAAGATGGCGATCCTTTATTTTGTGTCCCGATAAAATTGCAGTTTCTTTTTTCCACAGGAGTTGAATCTTTAGTCTCAGAAGGCGCGAAAATCATCACAGACATTCCCAGAAGCTGACGTCACGATCAGACGACAATCTAGAAGAAAAATCCAACATGGCGGCTGCGGTTGGGGAACGTTCGAGGAAAGCCAGTAGCGAGTCTGGGAACGAGATGCTAACGTGTGGGATCTGCCTGGACACCTACACTCGTCCCAAACTGCTGCCGTGTGCCCACAGCTTCTGTGAGGACTGTCTACACGGCATGGTGGGGTGGCGGATCTCCATGTCATGTCCTAACTGTAGGAAGGACGTCAAACTACCAGATACAGGTGAACATATATTACTTCTCACTTGGTAAACTTTAGTACATGTAAACTTTAGACGTGGTAGTAAACTTTAGGCACCCACAGCTTCTGTGAGGACTGTCTACACGGCATGGTGGGGTGGCGGATCTCCATGTCATGTCCCAACTGTAGGAAGGACGTCAAGCTACCAGATACAGGTGAATATGATAACGATATGTCTTTGTACTTTTGACTACATGTTAACTTTAGTTAGGACTGCCTACAGGTGAATATGCCTCTATAGTTTCGTCTTTATAGGGCTGTTTGCTGGGTATGTTTTCCTTATTTCTTACAAGGTAATGTTAGTGATTTTGAGTTTTACTTTTAATCCTGATTTCCGGTGTTGACCCTTCTATCCTGACCCTCAAGACATCTTGGCTTAATCCTTAAGTCTGTTAAGGTACCCGCACTTCCTTGGCCGTCTCATATTTCCAGCCGTGTTTAGGTTCAGTCGCGGTATGCAACTGACGTGGGTAATAGCGCGAGGAATGTTGGACCAGTCAGCCAGACTGGGTTTGCACTCTTCATGCCAAGCACAGGTTAATTTAGGCTTTGGCTTATTTTTGACGGACTTTTAGGCGTTTTTATCGAGATTTCTTTTTTTTTGAGCCGGTGTCTAAACCAGCCAGACGGCGGCATACTGGATACTTCCCAGCTAAGTGAGTGTGAGTAGGTGAGCATTGCTGATTATACTGTCTTTTTTGGGTGTAAGCCCCAAGTTTGTGAAACTACTTCCAGATCAGTGACCATGTTTTAGGTGACAGACACAAACCACATTTGCGTTTCAGTTTGTATTAACATCTCTAAGGCCCTTTAAGGTCACAATGGTTGTAAGTGATCTTAAGACAGAGTTTTGGTTCTTCTTGGTGTTCGGTGGTTACCTGTATGTTACCTGTATGTTACCTGTATGTTACCTGTGTGTTACCTGTATGTTGTTGTTCCAGGTGTTCGCAGGTTACCTGTATGTTACCTGTATGTTACCTGTATGTTACCTGTATGTTACCTGTATGTTACCTGTATGATGTGTTTGTTGCAGGTGTTCGCGGGTTGCCTGTATGTTACCTGAATGTTACTTGTATGTTACCTGTATGTTGTTGTTGTGTTTGTTGCAGGTGTTCGCGGGTTACCTGAGAACTTCTGGGTGAGTAACCTGAGACAAGTTCTGTCAGAACGGCGGGAACTGGAGGTCAGAGAGCTGGGCATGCGCAGGGAGGGACGGGAATGTACCATTCACGAGGGGGAGCAGCTCAGGTAGGGGCCCAGTTTTTTTATATTTACCATCAGACAAAACTTGTTTTTTTACGTTTACCGAAATAAAACATATTGTGTTTGCTCTGTTTCTTCTTCCTACGTTCCAAACACTGATCTAGTCAATGACCTGAACCAGACCGTCTGACACCATGGTAACTGGTCATGTTAATTTGCATATTTCAGGTATTTCTGCACGCGCTGTGACGTCACCGTCTGCTCCGAGTGCATGATCCAAGGTCACAAGAACCATGACGTCACGAGGGTCGCTGACGTGCTGGAGCAGCAGAGGGCAAAGGTGAAAGTTCAGCTGGAGCGGGGTCGTGAGCGCGCGCAGGTGCTGACGGGAAGGCTGAGGGACATGGCGGAAACGGAAACGGAGCTGGACGCCAGACAGGTGAGGAACCAACGGGACAATAGTGGTTATTATGTTTAGCTTCGCAGGAGGAAAACATCTTGCTTTTCATCATCACCATCATCATCACCACCACCATCATCATCATTATCATTATCACCGTTATCATCACCATCATCATCATCATCATCACCATCATCATCATCACCACCACCATCATGATGATGGTGATGAAGATGAAGATGATGGTGATGATGATAATGGTGATGATGATGATGTGGATGATGATGATGACGTCCTCCCATTTTCCAGGAGCGCGCGAAGAGGAGTATCCAGGAAGCTACAGACCAGCTGATCGACGCCATCGCGAAGGAGAAAGTTGCGCTGCTGCAGGACCTGGACACGAGTCACCTGGCGGCCAGACACGTCATCGCTGACGTCAGAACTCAGGTGGGGATTGGGAACGAGATCGCTTCACAGAAGGGAAAGGTGGGGACATGCGAGAACAGAAAACGTGGGTTACAGGTTTAAAGCTGGCTTCAAAAGGTGCTGTTGTTACTAGTGTAACAGCGAGTATATAGGCGTCACTAACTACCCGCCCAAAGGATTCTGGATCTTTTGGGTTAATCGGTTTGTGCACTGGTTGTGAGCTGACACGCCGCGCGAGCGGTGCGGGTTCGATTCCCAGGGGTTAGAATCAACCTTCGAGTTACTCCTTTCTCTGTGTTACACTAGAACAGTTCTGGATAGTTTCCACGTATCCAAGAACGTAGATTTGCCCCAGGTTCTTGATACACGTGGACTATCCAGAACCTTCTGAACATGGTTCTGGATAAAACACAGTTCTGGAGTTTCTGCGTATCCAAAACCGTAGGTTTACCCCAGGTTCTGGATACGCGTGGACTATCCAAAACCCTGCCTGAATATGGTTCTGGATAAAGCACGGTTCTGGATACAACAGGTGATCCCAACACGTGATCTTGTTCCCAGGTTGAGCAGGATCTGGGTGACCTTCTGCTGACCTTGAACCGTGCGGAAACAGCGGCCGCTGCGGACGACCCTTCTGACGTCATCGACTCCAAACACAAACTCTCGGCGCTCAAAACCGACGCGGTCTACTCATGCCCCCTACCGGACTTCAGCTTTACTGCATCCAAGGTAGGCCTAAATACGGTCAACATGTCTAAATATGGTCAACATGCCTAAATATGGTAAACATGTCTAAATATGGCAAAAATTAGCATTTTATGCCCAAATATGGCAAACATGTCTAAATATGGTAAACACAAAAAGTTTTTGTCCTCCAAGGTCCTGAAGGCCAAGATCAAGGTCGGCCAGCTGTCTGTGATCAAGGATGTTCCTCCAACCAACAACAACAGTTCCAACAACAACCAACCCAACAACCAACAACAGGACAGCCGAGTCCGCAGGTTCAGAGCAGCCACATTGCGGCTTGTAAAGAGACCCGTGTTCTGGGTTGTCGCCTTGAGTTTCCTGGTTCTTCTCTGCGCAGTTCTGTTCTCGCCAGTCAGCTTAATTGACTACCTGCAGTACGAACATGAAGAGCTAGAGGGCGCTTCAACCTTCTCCACTTACTCGCAATACTGGGAGGAACAGAATTCTTAGGATCAAAGTTTGACAACTTCTTATAGACTTTTTTGTACTATCAAATCGTCCTTTGGCAGTTGATATTCTTTGAAGATAGGGTTGGGGAAAGATGATCAATAGTAAAGTTTAACTTTGACTTTGTGCATATAAGTTACGGTATCCATCTTAAAAAATCGCACCACAGCCAACCTTTAGCAAAATTTTGTACATACTTTTAAAAAGGTGCGCAGGCCATAATTATGTTTACCGAAGGAAAACATATTGTTTTTGCTCAGTTTCCTCTTCTGTTCCAAACACTAACCTCTGACCTGGCCAATGACCTGATTTGTTGACGTCTGTCACCATGGTAACTGGTGTTGGATTACATAATGTTGCAATTTTATAGTAGGAGGGATTTAGACTCCTGTCACCATATGTATGAATGTATTTGAGTAAGAATCAACAGAGCACCCCATATAAAAAAGCTGTTAGAGGTACCTACAATGTACAAAAGGTGGAGGCATATTTATATTTATATTAGGTATTTATTTCCGACCAATGTTAAGCCATGGTCCACACACGGTTACAACTTCTATATATAAACGTTTTACCACAAGAACATATACGTATCTGCAATATTTTGTGTAAACAAGAATTCACACTGGATTACGAGTGAATATTGTTTGGTTATGTTATCACATTTATACTCTTATTTTCACACACATATTATCTTATTATCACAATAATAAACACACACGATCACAGGATATGTAATCATTAATCTAAATAGCTTGTGGAGTAAAACACATCAACAATTTTGACTTTAAAACAAAACGTTTCGTGCATTTTTCATGGACTAAGGTACTGTACAATTGTTCACAGACGTTGAAACTACAATAACTTTCCATCAAAACTCACATCTGAAATTTGTAATCTGTAAAAAGCACGTCACATTGAAATCAAAATGTCGTTTTTGTTCTAAACGGTAACATGTTCTAGCTTATATTAACGGCACATCAGAACATATGACACAAGCATGTAACAGAACGGGAACATCTACTGTAAGGAAAACCACAGATAAAGAACAGCCGTTTTACGTGCGAAGATCATGCTTTTTTCCTTAGTGATATTTCTATAAAGATATACGAGTTTTCACATTCTTTTCGTGCTCCAGACTACTTGTGCTAAAGCATCCACTGGTGGCTGCAGGACTCTCCTGGTCTTTCTCTCACTCTGTCTCAGATCTTCCTGAAAAGAGAATGCAATGTTTTTACCAGGCATGTTTCACTGTGTTGTATTACAGAGAAGCGCTTGTCATTTGAAAAACAAAGAAAAGGCAAGAAAATGTAAATTAGGTATCATTTGCATACTCGGGACAACTTAAATGAAGCCGTATGTCTCATTTGCATACTCGGGACAACTTAAATGAAGCCGTATGTCTCATTTACATACTCGGGACAACTTAAATGAAGCCGTATGTCTCATTTGCATACATGGGACAACTTAAATGAAGCCGTATGTCCGTGCCCCAGCGCCCCCTGTGGATTACCTCATGTAGCGCAGCCCCTTGGAGAACTCCATGTAGTCGATGGTCCGGCTGTTGTCCGTGTCCAGAAGCTTGGCGAGAAGGTGGAGCTCAGCCAGACTGCAGGGAGCGCCCAGACGCTGCATTCCTGACGGTAAAAATGGATAGACACAACTTTTTCTGATACAACTTTTTAATCTCTCTCTTTCTTTCTCTCTCTCTCTCTCTTCCTTCCTCTCCCTTTCTCTTTCCCTATATCTCTCTCTCCCTCACTATTTCTCGCTCTGTATCTCTTCCTCTTCCTGTCTCCTCTCCCTCTCTCTCTGCTTTCTTCATATCTCTCTCCACCCCTCCTCTTTCTCCTTCCCCTATCTTCCACTCTGTCTCCCTTTCTCGTACTATCTCTCTATCCATCTATTCATCCATCCATCTCCTCTCTGCCCTTCTCTCCCTCTATTCCCCTTTCTCGCACTCCCTCCCTCTCTCTCCTCCTCCCTCTCTCACCTTCCTTGAACTCCTCATACGACACCACGCTGTCTCCGTTCTTGTCGAACTTCCGGAAAAGGTCAATGACCCTGCCGTTGTTCTGGCGCATCCAGTGGTTCATCCGGGCTACGTAGTCGTTAAACAGCTCCTTATCCGATAAAATCTTCTCACACTCCTGCTCAAGGTCCTGAAAAACGCGGATACTGTCGTAGTAATGTCGTAATACTGACGTACTACTGTCGTATGTAGTCGTTAAACAGCTCCTTATCGGACAGGATCTTCTCACACCCCTGCTCAAGGTCCTGGGGACGGGAAAACACTGTCGTACTACTGTCGTACTACCGTCGTACTACTGTTGTACTACTGTCGTACTAATGTCGTACTACTGTCGTACTACTGTCGTACTACTGATTTACAGCACCTTATCCGACAGGATTTTCTCACACTCCTACTCAAGGTCCTGAAAAACACTGGTACAGTCGTACTACTGACGTACTGCTGTCGTATTACTGTCGTATTACTGTTTTATTACTGTCGTACAACTGTTGTACTACTGTCGTACTACTGTTGTACTACTGTCGTACTACTGTTGTACTACTGTTCTACTGTTGTACTACTGTTGTACTACTGTCGTACTACTGTTGTACTACTGTTGTACTACTGTTATGGTTAGGATCAGACACGGTTCTGGATCGTCTCCACGTACCCATGTACGCAGATTTGTCCCAGGCACGATTCTGGATACATGTGGACTATCCAAACTCATGCCTAGGCACGGTCCTGGATAGAAGAGACACCCGAAGTCCCTGGTTCTTGTTTGTTTGATGCTGCTGGATATTTTAACAGATACATTGTACTAAATTTAGCCGAAGCAGCTAAAACAATAACAACTGACTTACCGCGTTAGAGGCCATGATGATCCTTGATGTACCTGATATGAAAAAAAGAAAGTGAGAAGAGAAATTAAAGGACAGGAATCGTACATAGAAAAAATCTTAGACGACTCAAGATGAATTACAAGTGAAGTCCTCATTCTTAGATACCAAACTTCATTTTCACGTCATCCGATTGGAAGAATGTCATCTTAAGACATTTGAAGACTTAATTTTAAAACAAGACTGAAATTAAGGCGTGGGTCTCTTTAACTCTCGACGAGTTAAAGTCCCCAGTTTAAGGCCTAAGGGCAGCACTTTCACTGCTCATGTTGCTGTACATAAAATCTGCTGAGCTATATTTTGTTTTTCTGCTCGAACCGACGCTGAAATCGACCTAAGAAAAACTCAGCCTCCAAAAATCACTTTTAGCTTTTAACAACCATTTCACAATAAATAGCGCCTGTATCACGTTTCCCCACCATTCGGTAAAAATCATGTTTTGAAGAAATATCTTAAAGAAAATTGTACACAAACAGCAGGATGTCTTACCTGTACCTGTACCTGTGTCACCTGCTGGCATCTGAAGAAGGACAGGTGATCACGACTTTCTTAATGGATCCTCCCTGGAGGACCTTAAGGAAGTAGCGGCCAACCTGATGGAGAGAGTTGGTTCTCGTCACCCCCACACAATGTCGGCAATGTAGAATCTAAAGCCTGGTTATGTATATGCATGTGTGTGTGTGTGTTACTGTGTTGCCCGACATAATATGTTTTCTAAGTATCAATGCAGATTCTAAAGCCTAGTGTACGTTTGTGTGTGTTTTATGTGCGAATGAATGAATGAATGAATGAATGAATGAATGAATGAATGAATGAATGAATGGATGAATGAATGAATGGTTTTGACAAGTACATTGCAGCCATAGGCTGAATCACGTACTTTATACATATTTAAAAACTCTTTACTTTAAACAATTTTCCGATTAGCGTTTATCTTTCCTATCTAACAATTTATATATTCTAAAATCACAAAAAACGCGTCTGCAGTATGTGCGTGTGTGTGTGTGTGTGTGCGTGTGTCATTGTGTACGTGCAGAAAAGCCAGTTCTGTTATCTGTCAAGTTATTTGTCTTTGTCCTAACCCCCCCCCCCCCNCC